ATTTTGAATCATAATTCATTTTTTTTAAATTGTTAATATTATTAAAATGAAATTAACACCTGTCCTCATGAAGTTTAAGGCTTTGTTTTTTATTTCTTCATTGACTTGTTTTGTATTGCGCAAGTAGTTCATAATAAAAATGTTTGGCGCAAACTTCAACATATTTTGTTCACCACATCCACTTGGCATCTCAAGTAAGTTATCAATATTGTCTAAACTGGAACCCATAATATCTCCCACAACTGTTATTTTTGAGTAAACAGAACCTTTTACAAAATTTGCTGGAAGTGTGAGATTGAAAGAATACTTGAATATTTTTTCAGGAGAGTTTGGACAAATGAAATTAGAAAATGTATATTCTTGTTTAAGTCCTTCTGGTTCTACAAGAAGCTTTTTTACTAAAATATCAGTCATTGAGATACTCCTGTCTACATTGTCGTAAGCAGCACAGACATTTTCAGACAATGTTTGTGCGGTTACTTGAATTGATATTTTGCCAATGACAGTTGGTTGTATTTTAAAATAAACAGTAGCAGTGCGACCACCGCATAAGCAAACTTTTGAATTTGGCCCAGAAATCATTTTGTAATCGTTAGAACTTCCTAATGTAACACGAACCTAAAGTTTAAATTATTTTTTTAATTTTATGAAACAAAATAAAACTTCAAAAAAACAACTTTCTTAAAAAAAAAAGATTTCACAATTTATCTTACTGTAATACATGCTCCATCTACATAACTAAAAACTGCAGCAGGAAGAGTTACAATTTCTCCTTGAATGACAGAATAAGGTAAAACAAGAGATACGAAAAATGACTGAAACACTCTTAACTCTGAAGGTACTGCAACACCAAGACCGACTGAACTTGAAACTCCAAATCCACTAGCATACCATGATGTAATAGTGTCAGGTACTTTCACATCAAAAACATGAGTTCCATTTTCAGATCTAAAAAAAACTTTTTTTGTTTGAAAAGAGTCAATAATTTTTAGTTCAAAATATAAAAAATTAGTAAAATATTTTACAGGTGTTCCTCTGTCCATAGCAAAGTTTCAGGGAATTCTTTTCTTACACGGGTTTCTGATTTAGATGCCACACTTTCTACACTAGATGCTACTAAAAATATGAAAAAACATTAACTAAATTAGTGTAAAAACAATAAACTGTGAATACAATGAAATTACAATACAGGTAAAAATTAACATTTTTTTTTACATTGACAAGAAATCAAAATATTTTAAAAAATATAATGATATATATATATATATATATATATATATATATATATATATATATATATATATATATATATATATATATATATATATATATATATATATATATATATTTGATATATCCTACCAAGATCAACATTCATATTTTTAGTCAAAGCCATTGGAAAAAAAAAGTTCTGGGAACAGGGACGAACATCAATGCGCAATGAAGAAAGTACAATCAAGCGAACATTCTTGAAAAAAAAAAATATTACAAAATTATATGGAAATAAAATACAAAAACAACATATGTAGATTTTTTACTTTAAATGATTTTTATTTGACAAGGATAAAGCTTTAAGTATTTAACAAATTTTTTCTATTAAAAAATAGAAAAAAAATTGCTAAATATTATAAGTCTAATTTGCAACAAACCTAATTTATAACAAATCTTAATTCTAACAATCTAACTTGCATCGAACCTCGCTTACAAAAAATTATATCTCACTTACAACAAAGGCTTTTTCTGAATCCACAAAATTTTGAGAAAAGAAGCCAGGGAAAAAACTTTTTTTCTTTCTTTCACGCCAGGGGCATCTATTATAATTATTGATATATCCAGGATAAATATCAAGCCCTTCTCGAATCTTCAGCAACTAATAAAAATTATAAATTTTAAAATGTATAATATAAATTAATAATAAAAAGAATAATATTTTATTTATCATATATCATAATTATATTATATATTATATATGCATTAAAATTATATTTATATATTCTATATATATATATATATATATATATATATATATATATATATATATATATATATATATATATATATATATATATATATATATATATATATATATATATATATATATATATACATATATTTATGTGTGTATATATATATATATATATATATATATATATATATATATATATATATATATATATATATATATATATATATATATATTATAATTTTAAATACAAACAATTATAACAAAAATAATAATAATAATGATAAAAATGAAACATTATCCTAAATATTTAAATCAATACTAGCTGAAAAATAGTATTCTTATTTTTAAAATAACTTTATTTTATATATATATATATGTGTGTGTGTGTATATATATATATATATATATATTTAAGTTACATGAAACTGCAATCTTGTTAAACTCTACGTCAGTTGAGTATACAAATATATATATATATATATATATATATATATATATATATATATATATATATATATATATATATATATATATATATATATATATATATATATATATATATATATATATATATATATATATATATATATATATATATATATATATATATATATATATATATATATATATATATATATATATATATATATATATATATATATATATATATATATATATATATATATATATATATATATATATATATATATATATATATATCAGTGGTGTACACTGGACTTTTAGATGTTTGAGTTTTGACACTTACACGCATTTTGCAAACTCCAAACTTTTGTATGTTCATGCTTATGTCAAATGAGAATGTTTTGCAAAATATTGTGGTGATTGGAGCTTGGGGACAAAAAAACCCCGATTTTCGGGCCAACCCAGCCCTTAACATGGGAGCAACAAGTTGATAAAATAATTTTTTTAGTATTTTTATTTAAGTTTAAAATCATCAGCAAATTTCAAATTTCATCCAATAATTTCTTATTTTACATAAATTATGACCGTATAAAGTTTTAACTCCCCTCAATTTGAGGGGGCTGTAAACTTTGTAGGGTCATAAAAACTAAAAAGTAAGAGGTTATTGCATGAAATTTGGAATTCATTAATGAATACAAACTTAGATAAAAATACTAAAGAAATTATTTTATCAACTTGTTGCTCCCACGTTAAGGGCTGGGTGGGCCCGAAAATTGGGGTTTTTTTGTCCCCAAGCTCCAATCACCACAATTTTTTGCAAAACATTCTCATTTGACATAAGATGAACATACAAAAGTTTGGAGTTTACAAAATGTGTGTAAGTGTCAAAACTCAAACATCTAAAAATCCAGTGAACACCACTGTATATATATATATATATATATATATATATATATATATATATAATATATATATATATATATATATATATATATATATATATATATATATATATATATATATATATATGTATATGTATATATGTATATATGTATATATGTATATATGTATATATGTATATATGTATATATATATATATATATATATATATATATATATAATATATATATATATATATATATTTATATATATATATACAAATAATTTATTTGAAAAAATACATAGAATTCATATTGAAAAAAAACAAATAAAAACAAAAACAAATTTCAATAAACTAAAACAATATTTTTTGAAGTATATTTTATCGATTTATATCATACTAATTGAAAATATTTATTTTTAAATGTTTGTAAATTTATTTTGCTAACTGTTATCAGATGGCAATATTAGAGAACTGTTGTAATAAAAAGGTTCATTTCAAATTTAAATAAAAAAAAAATAATAATAATAAAAAAAGCTTAACACAAACATGTCCTCAACTTTTGACATAAAAATTTGATTGAATGAAATGAATTACTTTTATATAAAGTATTTATACTTTATATAAAATTTTATTTGTTTTATTTATACTGTGCTTAACTTCATAAAAGATATAAAAGCACATAAGCAATAAATAATAAATTTTAACAACTTTTTCCTTAAAAACTAATTATCAAGTTTCTTTTAATTTTATTCGCATTTAAAAAAAAATATTTTTAGTAACAGCCGTGTTTGTTTTCTGTACATTTTTTATAATTGCTTTTAATTACAAAAACATCGAGAAGATAAAGTTTAACATCAATAAGAATAGAGAAGATAAAATTTAACATCAATTATAGAAAAAGACCTGTCCTATATCATAAGGTAGGAATTATTATCCTGTTTAGCAGCTGAAAAAATATTCAGAATAAACCAACTAAATTTTAACAATCAAATTTTTATTTTGAAAAAAATCTGAAAAAATAAACACTTTGTTGAACAATTTTTTCCCAGCTTCTATCAAGTGCAAATCTAACAAAATTTCTTTACACATTTACATAGAACTTGTATGCATGTATCATTGAAAACCTTGTTTTGTTGAAAAAGTGTTATTAATTGTTAAACTTTTTTACTTATCTTTCCTACTAGTGATCATTAGTCAGACAACAAGTTTTAGCTTTTCTTTCTATGGCCTTTAACCATTAACAAATCTGGGTGTTATAAAAAAGAGCACAAATATTTACAAATAAAAAAAGAAAAAAAAAACATTAATATAACTTTTTAATTATAACTAAACACAAATAAAATTTCTTAGTCGTTGTTGTTATTGTTGTTGTAGTTACTAAGGTGCTCCCAGAAGTCTTTGCAATCTTATCACAGAGCACAGCAGAAAAGAATATAACTAGGAAGTTCACACTCAATGTTGCTTGTAAGGCTAAAGTTAGCGTCGAACCTCAAATCTCTTTGTTCTGAGCCATAACTGTAACAACAGCGCCATGACTGCACATAACAAAAATCACAGATAAAGTCTTTTCAAGTTGTTCAAGATAAAGATGATACATAAATGGGATCAAACGGGTTTCTATAATTGAGGAGGCTACTTTTTTTTCCATATTATATTATAATGAAAAGTTTTTTCAATTTTTTGACAATAAATATATAAACCAATAAACTTGATGAGTTGAATCATTAAAAAAAAGTAAAAAAATGTAAAAAAAAAAAAATTATATTTAAAAAAAAATTTAAATAAAATTTATATTTTATTTTATATAAACCATATGAAATAATGTAGTAATGTAGTAAAGTCAAATTAACAACAGGGTCACCAAAGTAACTATAAACTGGTGTCATTTTATTATTGAGCAAACAGATCACATAAAAACTAATAGGACAATAATTTGAGAGATAGTATGTTACAACCACTGTTTAATATGTAATATGATCTACTATAATCTACTATGATCTTTTTAATGATAAAATTCATAATTAATTTAAATAGCTAAGTAGTTTTTAGTAGCATAGTGATTAAAACTTGTAAAAGAACAAAATTCTGAGTCAGTTAAAAAAAAAATTAAGATTAAAGTCAAACAGTTTTAAAATTAATAGAAAAATTCTAGTTTCAAATAAAATATTTATTTAGTTCAAAAAACAGGTTTTTGAATTATGAGTAATTTATATAGAATAGGATCTATTATTTTTGCACTGTAAAAAGCAACCACTTCATCAGTTTAAAGTGAAAAACAATTCAAGTAAGGAATCCGCGAGGCCACATTTTTTTTTTAATTAAAAAATTATAAGAATTTTTGAAACTCAAGTATATTTAAGGAGAACTTAGGTCTTTTTAGGATGTTTTTCAAATATTAGTATATTTTAGGATTTATTAGGAGGCCACCCTGGCCATTGTTCACCAATTAAAAAAAAAGTGTGTGACGTTTCAAAATAAATTTAAATTAAATGCTTAAATTATTTACAAAAGCAGGCTTAGATAAAAATGGCATACAATTGCAAGCTATTCCTGTCTGACCTCTGAAAAAAATTCTTTTAAATTTTAATAGGAATAACTTTGAATTGGTGATCTTTTGTCAAGTTTTTATAAATTGTGAACACTTTTAAATAAAGTAACAAAATGATTCTAATGATTTTTTGAAACAAACTTTTTTTAAATTACCAAAGAATATTTTTTCAAAATAAAATCAAATAAAAATTCAATTCATTTGGCATTTAATATATAGCATATATATCATTTAATAAAATATTTTATAGAATAATAAACTGAGATCTTTAAAAAATTAATTCTATGATTTAGATCGCTAATTCTAGATGACTTATAAAGTTTGAAACAAATTCAGCAATCTGGCTGAATTGTTTCAAACTTTACAAGGGTGAAGTCTGAAAACAAAATTTTAAATCTTTCCAGTAAAATGATTTAATTGTTTGATATCTTTAAAATAAGGCAATTAAATTGTATAAAGTTGAATTTAATAAACAAAAATTTATCAAAAAGTATTAATAAAATCTATTTTCCATTAATTTACTAATCAGAGAAATGATTAAAAATTTTAAGACTATGTTGTTTATTAAACAAATTTTAATTTTTTTGTATTTTTTTTTTGCAACTTAATGGAAAAATACATACATATTTATATAAATAAAAAGTATCATGCATACAATTTGATAAATTAAATAAAAATTGTTTATTTATTATTAAACAATAATAAATAAATAATAAAAAGTGATAAATAACTAATCTCAACTTCTCTCTTATGAGGCGAGCCTTCTACCACTATACGACTACTGCATTAAAGCAATGTCATTTAGTAAAGTCATTGGTAAAAAAAGTAAATCAGTTTTAAATAGTATACATAGAACTTATGGAAAAAACTTGATGTCAACAATATCAGTTTCAGCTTAAAAATAAATATAAAGAAACTTGATTATAAAGAAACATTCACATTTTTTCAAAAGTAAACAAAAACAAACTTTAAAATATTGACCACAATTTTACATTTTTAGATATAATTAATAATGAATATAATTAAAATATACATGATTATAATTACCAATGAGCCTTAATTAATTCATGTATCATATATTTAACTGGATAATATCACCCTATTTATAATATTGAAACAATAATATAAAATAAAATATACATATCTATGAAATAGTAATGATTCAGTAGTTTGCTTAATCAAGTTGTTTTTTTGTTGTTTTTATATGTAAAACAACATTATAGTAATATGTTCTTTTCAAAAAATTACATAAAGGCTGGATTATGATGATTTTAGATCACTAATTTAGTGATCTGGCTGAATTGTTTTAAAATTTATAAAGGTGAAAACTGAAAACAAAATTTTTAATCTTATTAATTAAATAATGGTTAATAAGAGTAAATGTTACCAGTAAAAGCTTTTGTTTACAAGTAAACATATTAATATTTAGAAATAATATTTTATTATAATTTGTTATATTATCTTTTATCTAGCAATCTAATTTCAAATTGAAGTATTATTTATATTTTAATTTTAAAATAATAAAGTCTTATTTTTTATTCTGTCATATCACCATTTTTGGTTGAAATTAGAAGTATTTTAAACTGAATTACTGACTAAAATAACTGATTAATTTAGTAGCCAACTAAATATTCAAACCAAAAAAATATAACAAAAAGAAAATGAAAAAAAAAAAAAAAAATAAACTTATAAAAATTAAAAAGTCTTTTAATGTAAAAAAATAAATTTAAAAATAAAACTGATTAAGTAAATATAAATAAAAATGATATAAATAATAGACAGTATAAATAAATAGCAATCATAATAATATAATATAAATAAAGGGTAATACCACTAAACTTACATTTTCAGGTTTAATATCGTTACCCTTAGCAAGGAAATGTACACTTTTATCAACAGCTGCAATTGCAACTCTTGATTTTGGAAAACCTTTCACTGTTAGCTTCACATTGTCTCCAGGACGAACTTCCTCATTACCGAATGCAATTGATACCTAAAGAACAATTATTTATTCATTTTCATTGTTAAAAAAACAAAATCTATCAACAATAAACATATTCTTATTATCTATAGTAAAAAAATAGGAGATGGTCATAGGAGAAATAGGAGATGGTCATAGTAGAAATAGGAGATGATCATAGGAGAAATAGGAGATGGTCATAGGAGAAATATGAGATGGTCATAGGGTCATTCTAATTAACAAAATACAAGCTTAAACATTTAGCTCTGTATTCTATTCATATATTATGTTTGTGTACTTATATACAACAATGAATTTTAATTAAAAATTTTCTTTACATATTTTGGCATAACACAAAAAACCATAATAATTCTTGAAAAGCATTTTTAATCAACTTTAATTTACCTTATTTTCAAATTCATTAACAACTTCAACATCAGTATTATCTGCTACCACCTCATTTCCGTACAAGTAATATACCAACATATGACAAAGTGGCATCATTTTTGAAGTAACACGGAATGAAATAGTAAAATATCCCTTACTGTATTTTAATGGTAATGGTGGCCGAGTTACAGGCTTTTCAGTTCCCCAAACAGGTAATATTATTTTCCTAGAAAGCAATAATTCATCTGTATTGTTAAAAAAAGATTCAGCATTTTTTTTAGTCGTTGTGGTAGTTGTTGTAGTTGTTGGTTGGGCTGTTGTGGTTGTCTGTGATTGTACTTTAGTAGTTGAAGTAGCAGCAACAAACTTTATATTCTTATATCCAGATGCTCGAATGTTTCCGGTGCAAACAAGCTTAAATATAATTTGTATAAAAAAATACATTGTTTTTTTAAAATATTATATACTACTGCTAAAGGCAAAGCTAGTGTATATCCATTCCTTAAAAAATGATTGAAAATGAAAAAATGAAGAAAACTTTTTTAAAAAAACTTTAATTTAAATTTCTTTTTTGCTTTTTTTTTAAACTCAAACAACCGCAGAAGTATTGATCTCTCAACTTTTTCAAAAGTTGATATACACTATCCTTTACAGTAGTACAGAAAAAAGTATGAAATTACTTTATTAAAAAAATTGTTAAAAAAATTACTGAATAATAAACTGTTCTTTTTTTAGGTACAGTATCAACTGAAGTATAGTGTACTAAAACTGTAGCTATGGTACCATTCTATAAAATAAATAAAAATGTCATTTAAATGAAAATGGTACTTTATGGAACTTTTTTTTAAAAATTTAAAACTTTATGCACTCACGAAAGATAAAAAATTTATTTAATTACAACATCTAAACATTTAAACAAATATATTTTGAGAAAGTTATCTTCTTAAAAAGGGAACTGAAGATAAAGTTTTAATTCATCTAGAGTAAAGTATGCTAGTTCAAATAAAGTAGAGTAACGCTAGTTACTCTAAAATAAAGATAAAAGCTGTGCATAACATATATATAAATGTTACACACAGATTATAAAATTATATATAAATATATATAAAAATAATATATCACAAAAAATATATATATGTTATGCACAGGTAATGAAATTGCGCATTTCATGAATGTTGTTTATTTTAAATATTATTCTGCATGATAAAAAATACTTATATTTATTAAGTTTAAATAGTATTTATATTTAATTCCTTTTATTATATTTATATTTATCAAGTTTAAATAACATTTATATTTACTATTTTTAAATATATATTCTGTGTATTTTAATGTATATAGTCAGTCAATGTATGTATAAAATGAGCACATGTTCATTTTATAAATACATTGCAGAGACTGCGCAAATCCCTATTTAAATCAATTTCACATATATTTTATATATATTATATATAATAAATATAGCTATTTAAACAATGACAATAAAAATTTAAAATTTTACAATCTGCACAATCACACTATCCAGTTGACGAAATGAGCACATATCATGAAATGCACAATTTTTTTTGGAAATATTCCTATAACAGTGGGAATTTTTGGGAATATTCCTATAACAGTGGCTGCAAAGCCACTGTTATAGGAACTGCAAATTAATCTGAGAACTGAAATGAAAATGAAAAATTATCACCCTGGCTATTGAGTACAAGGGTACTTGAAATTTGGTAAAGAAACTCAAGCTGCAATTTCTTCTTTTGACCTTAACTTAGCCAACAACAATAATCCAAAAATTTTATTTACCTATACTAACTGCAAATATATTGTCAGCGATCATGTCAATACAGTGGGTTCTTCATCCAGTTAACCCTGTAGCAATAGAATTTTGATTGCCAATATATTGAACAAGATATTCTAATCTAAGTTTGCTAAACCATTCAATATTTCATTTGATTATGAATCTGTTCAAAAACACTTTGGAACATTCAACAGTTAAAAGTCTTATGTCCTTACTTTCTTTAAACCTGCACTAACACAATAGCAGCTCTGCTTGCTATAACTTTACAAAAGGATTAAAGAACAGTACCGAAAGTATGGCTTTTGGTGAATGTAACTTCATTGTTCAAAAACAGCTCAAAGACTCAAACTACTGTCTAATTACTATCACTTCTGTACCATTACAGATCAAAGATAAGATTATGCAATACTTAATATCAAACAAATTTCTCTCTAAATATCAACACAAATTTGTTAGCTAAAAACCCTGCACTATAAATTTACTTAGCTGGTTTTTTTCTTGATTTTGCTAATACATTTAACAAAGTTGCTCACAAAAGGTTAAAAAAAAATTTGAGTCGTATGAGATTAGAGGAAATAATTTTAATTTGATTTTCTTTCCGACAGAACACAACATGTCCTTCTTGGTAAAATTGCATTCGAATGGAAAAAGATTATGAGTGGCATTATTGGTCCAACACTATTTATATTCTATACCAGTGTTTTGTTAAAAGACATTAGCAGCAAAAGCATTTGCAAAATGAATAAAAAAAGTTCTCTGCAAGCTGTCATTGATAGTATTGTCAATTGGTTCTAAATTTTTTAAAGTCAAAAGTCCTTAGTTGCAACCCATTACTCCAAGAATACAAAAATGATACACATTTACACTAAGAAAATGAAGTTATCCAAGAACATGGGAAAAATCTCGATTGCTTTAAGAACATGGTGGTGGCACCCCATTACTTTTAGAACACGAAGGTGACACTGTTAATCCCAGAACATAAAAGTATCACTTTAATACTTACTTAAGTATACATAAGAAAGTCCATTTATCAATAAAACATTTTGCATTCATCATCATCATCATCATCATCATCATCATCATCATCATCATCATCATCATCATCATCATCATCATCATCATCATCATCATCATCATCATCATCATCATCATCATCATCATCATCATCATCATCATCATCATCATCATCATCATCATCATCATCATCATCATCATCATCATCATCATCATCATCATTATTCCATCACATTCTCTTTATTTATTTATATATTTAAACATTTTTTTGTCAAATAAAAGAGTCCACTTAATGGTCTTATCATGGAGCATCGTGGAACAACATTTTATCAAAATATTTACTGGTGCTTTAATTTACATTACTTTAGATCACATTTAGCAAATTCAATTTTTCAGTTATATATACAACAATATATATACATATTATGCTTTATACAAGTGTAATTAGCATCATATACATAAATACCTATATATACAAATTAATTAAAGTGCAAGCGTAAATAAAAATTTAAAGTTTGAAAAGGAAATCATACTTTCACAGCTGTTTTGAGTTTCTCTATAAACAAGTAACTATGAGAAGGTGAATACCATGCATCAATTGATTTACTAGCAGATGACTGTCGTTCCCAATCACTTTCATCAGAGTTAACAATTTTAGGTCTCTCGTAAATTGCCTTTAAAAAAGTACAAAATAATATTATTAATGCTATATTTTTAATTGGATAAAAATTATATTTTTATATTCAGCAAAAAAGAAATATACAAGACTTTATATACTGCATACTATAAAGTATACAATGCACAATAGATTTCAAAAGTGATAACAGCAAGTTTAGTGTTCTTATGTACCATGAAAAAAATTCAATGAAATGCTTGTTAAATAGCAACAAATTTTAGTCTATTAAACAGATGAAAATGATTTAGCACTTTACTTTAAATCAAATATTCTACCAAAAGATGTTTTTTTATAATCTTAAAGTTGTTTTGTTCATTCAGTTCTAGACATTAAACGATAAAATCATCAAATTTCTAATAGAGATTTTTTTGTTTATAGGTATAAAATTTTAGTTTTTTTAAAAAAATGACGAATTCTATTTTTGTAATTTTCTAACTTTAATCAATACATGACTAAAAACTTTACTAATAAAATAAGTAAATGATAAAAATAACATAAATAAAACACTACAACTAATGATTTAAACAACAGAATATGAATAACATAGATTTATAAGAAACAAAATGTTCAATTATAAATGATAATACAAATTTAAAAAATAGAGTGCTTGTTTGTGATTTTTAAATGTTTATAAAATGACATCTCCTTTTATTTTTCTAGGTATTGAAAACTTTTTTAACAGGCCCAGTGTCATTTGTAAATTTAAATTAGGTATTAAATTTAAATATTTAATAAAATTCATTTCATTGTATTTTTTAATTTATTTTTGTTATTATTACAAAACTTTGTGTAAATGAATAAAAATAAGTGTATAATAAAATAATATAATATATGTCAAAATTAAATTTGAATTATTTTTATAATTACTTAAATTCTATAACTTAAGTAAAACATTTAATTATAAGAAATATTAAAAAGTATTAAAATAATAAAGTGTATATAAAATTATACAATGTATCAATGTAGTAGATATTAAATTGAATTTTATTTAAAAAACTAGAAATTAAAAATAAATAAAAAAACATTGACTTACTAACAAGTTGATACTTTGTGCATTAAATGGAATGTCAGGAAGAACAACATTTAAGAAGCCACCTTTAACTTCAAATACACCATTTAATAAATCAGATGAGGAATAACCAGTTGTTCCAGCACTGATATTTACCAGTATTGATCCTGCTGGTGTGTTATCAATATAGCTTGCTAAAAGCTTAAAACATAAAAACACATATACATATTTATCAATATACATACAAATATTTATATATATATATATATATATACATATCTTTTTTTTGAATTTAATATCAATGGTTTGACGTGTGGTTAGGATGGGCTTTTATAAATTTATTTTCTTATTTAAATATAGGAGAGTTAAAACAAATTTATACAACAGGACGCCCCTTCTAAGGACTGTTTAGACGCCCCTTCTAAGGAATGTTTAGACGCCCCTTCTAAGGACTGCCCCTTCTAATGTTAACCTGTTTTTTAGATCAAGACTTAATATTCTTTTTGTGATACCACCACTAGAAGGATAACTATCCAAATACAGCTTCTTGTTATTTTATAAAAATATGAACTATGGAGGTGTTTCTAAACTTATATAATTTTAAATATTTTTGATAAACTTGTTCTGTAAAAAGAATAAAAACACTAATAAAATTTGAAATCATTGACATTCAAATCAATAATAAAAATTTGGATTTTTGAACTAAATCTGATAAAAATGAAAAGCTTTGGATATTTAAACGATGATCTTTTAAAAGATGAAGTGAATTTGATGAAAATGAAAAGCTTTGGATATTTAAACGATGAATTTGATGAAAATGAAAAGCTGAATTTTAATTATTTAATTTTAACTTTTAGCAAAAATAATCAGAAAATATTTCTGATATTATCTAATATAAACATTATTTACATAAGATACAGGTAGTCTCATTCATATTATTGATATAACATTCTCCCTCTTCTTGACACAACATTCTCCCTCTTCTTGACACAACAGCCTAATAGTTTTAGTCGATTTAAGTATTAGTAGTACAATAAATTACACAAGTTTATACATTTTTTGAGTGATACTTTCATTTGGAAAGCTTGAAACTCAAAAGTAAATAAACTTGTATAAAAACAAAGCTTAATAAATTCTTTTTTAGAGATAAATTTTTATATGTATTTTTTTTAATACCAAATCAAAAAAAAAAAAAAAAAATAGTATTTCTGGTTTTAAGATTTTATCAGCAGATCTTGTTTTCAACAAATACCAGGATAAAATTTAAATTAAAATACTTCATAATTTTTAACATCATTTTTTTCTCTTAAAGGTAAGTTCCAGCTCTTTGATTTTTTTTTTACTGGTATGATTGATATGCTTTTGTAGTTAATAAATGACATAAATTACAAAAAATTCTATAAAATAATTTTAAAATTGAGTTATAAACATTATGTTTTATTTGGGTTTTCCCGTTTGCAGTTAATTTTTATGTAGAAGAATACCTTTATGAAATGTATAGTAATTTACCTTTTATAAAACGTATAATAACCCAATAAACAATCAATAAGTAATGCTTAAGAAGTCTCATATTTATCTTAAAAACAAATCTAATATATAAATTACTATAGAAATCAAATATAAAATTTTAATTGATATTTGTTAAAAACAAGTTCTGCTGATATAACCTTAAAACTTTATAAATCATATATTTGATAGTAATTTATATATTAGATTTGTTTTTAAGATAAATATGAGACTTCTTAAGCATTACTTATTGATTGTTTATTGGGTTATTATACGTTTTATAAAAGGTAAATTACTATACATTTCATAAAGGTATTCTTCTACATAAAAATTAACTGCAAACGGGAAAACCCAAATAAAACATGTTTATAACTCAATTTTAAAATTATTTTATAGAATTTTTTGTAATTTATGTCATTTATTAACTACAAAAGCATATCAATCATACCAGTAAAAAAAAAATCAAAGAGCTGGAACTTACCTTTAAGAGAAAAAAATGATGTTAAAAATGATGAAGTTTTTTGTAGTAATATCTCAAAAGATAATATGTTATGGAAAGTTTAATTAACTAGAAACACAATATTTTTTGGCTATTGGGATCCCTTTAAAAACACTAATTGCAACATCATCAATAACGTTATAAAGATTATTGTAGCTTGGTTTCTTTAGATATTTTTGCAATGATAACCTACAAATACATTACCATAGTAATCTTGTTGTTCAACCTTAATAACATTAAAGACCTAAAGAAGAGCCACAAGGTCCTATATTAGTTTGTATGTTATTAAGTTAGTATATTAGTTTATGTTTTTTCTATATTCTTAAACTCTATCTGCAAAAATTCTAAAAATATCTAAAAATTTGCTTTGCATAAGTATAATTACAATTTTTTCAGAAATATAAAGATTGAAACTTTCTATATGTTCACCCTGACATGTTAAACACTCATACTTCTCTATATTACACAATATATCTTTTTCAGAATCACTAATAATTTCACAATATTAGTAAAGCCATTGTTGCCATGTACCACACTACGTCTAACCAATGTCACAGTTGCATTGTGTAATTAAACGCCTAACACTATCACAGGTTTCTTACTTTTTATCACTTTTTTTTATAACAATCTAAAATCACTTTTTAAATACTAATTTATACAATTTTAACACTACTCAATGTATTGCATTATCTAAAACTATCATTAAAAATCATAGGAGTAAAAAATGATGTTCATTCATTTATTAGTTAAGAAAACACATTCAATGTTTCATCATTGCTTAAAAATGTAATTTCGAAAATGATTAGAAAAATTTGTTGTTAAACATGTCTGGTTTAAAGACAAATTAGATAGATATAACATATTTGATAGAAGGTAATGAAAATAAACTTTTAACATTTTTTGTATAAAGGGTTGAAATTTAAGTTATTTGCCACACATTACAATAATTTTTTTTTTTTCGTATTTAAAAAATATAAGAATAAAAATGAAACGTAAATAAAACATGCAATAAAAATCAGATAGAATAGACAGCCATTTCTAAATTTCAGTCATCAAGCATGAAGATAAGTTTAATTTAAAACAAAATTCCTAAAACAGGTTTTTCATAACAAATGGTGAAGAACAGAAAAGTGAAAAAAAAAAAAAAATCAGTAGCAATACCTATCAATAGCAATTAAAAGTTAAACTTAAACAATATTCATTGTTATTCTGCTTTGCATATGAATTTAACAAAAAGTTTTATTTGAAGATGACATTTTAGAAAATGTCTAGCATTTTAAAGTCAGTAAATTTTGATATTTAATTAATAATTAAAACTTAAATAATTTATTGTTTACTAAACTTTAGAACTTTTTCAACCAGTAAAACCATGAAATCGTTATAATGCAAGGATTTTTAAAAAAATTTAGCGTTAATATTTTGGGATATTTATTTTTTATTCCAAGTATGCTTCAGCAATGAGTCTGCCATAGAAACTATAACCCAAAAAACTTAAAATGTCAAAAAGGCTTCTAATAAACAATTTCATTAAGTTAGTGTAACTCAGAAAACCAAACCTCCTCCTAAAGTTTTGGTCAATTATCAGTGTTAGGTCTTCATTGATTGTATAATTGATAGTGTATTGAAACTTGTTGACAACTTCAATTAAAGAAAACAAAACCATTTTTAAAAAATCAATAAAATCAAATAAAATCAAGAAGAACATGTTTAGTTAAGATGGAATCACAGATCACTAAGCAAAATCAAAATTATTGACTTTTCGAAGATTTTTCTTTGAAATTGCATGAACTAGCCACATTTATTTTCAATAGAAAATCCATGGAAATTATTAAAGAGAGAACCTTCTGTAGAAAAAAGTCAAAAAGGGTTCTATTTAATGAAAAAGTTATTTGGCATTGGAACCATAATGCACAATTGAAAGAAAAGGAAAATCCAAGTTATCTGAATTATTTTTTTTTAATAAATGAATTTATACATTTTATGATTATTATTTACTTATTATTACTTTGTGCTTTTTAGAATATTTATAAAAAATACACATATGTTTTATAAAAATAAAGTATACATTTGTACTTTTTTAAAAACACTAGTTTCTATTAGTTTTACTACTAGAAAGACAAAAAACATTAATATGGACTAATAATTTGATTGGAGACAATGTATATATATACACATATACATATATACATATATACATATACATATACATATATATATACATATACATATATATATATATATATATATATATATATATATATATATATATATATATATATATATATATATATATATATATATATATATATATATATATATATATATATATATATATATAATATATAATATATATATATATATATATATATATATATATATATATATAGGCTTGGGCAGGAGAAAATGAGTGCACGATTTGTGAATAGTCTAAAATGGACTTGGCAAGTTATATGGACATTGTTATTTTAACAATAAAAAAATAATTTTTACTTTTTTTAATTAATTTATATATATATATTTTTTTAATATATTTAATAATATAGTAATCAATTAAATAAATAAATAATAATATAAAAGTGTTATAATATTATTAATTATTTTAATAAAACAACAACATACTGTTTATAATATATGATCATTTTATAAAAACAATTGATCGTAATTCTATATTTTAAAAGTTCATTAATTTCTCTTCTTTGTAAATAAAAGTGTCATTAAATATGAAAATTTTGAGGATTGCATTATAATAACAAACAGGAGTTCGACATTGAAAATTGACTTTTTGTAATTAAACATTGAATAAATGAGTTGGATACTTATAAATTTAAGATTAAAACTTTTCAAAGTTTTTTAAAAGCACTTTTTTTTGTATTGCTCAGAGCCATTAGCATGTCTTTCTTTTTTCAAGTTTTTGTTTCAAATTATTTCTACACTTTCTACTGAACTTTCTTTTTTGTACAATACATACATTAACTGGGGGTTTGGGTTTGGGCAGGTTTTATCTTAATATAAAGAACTTGACATTAACACAAGGTTTTAAAAAACTTTTATAGAAAAACTACTAAATCAATTATACAAAAGAAAATTATTGATAATAAATAATTTAACAATATTAGTAATAAAAGTTTGCTTGGTAAATAAAGGTATACAAAAAAAAGTACCTTGACAGTTATTGGAAACCCTGGTTTAAATACATCACTACCCTCGAATGTCAACTTGATTGGATTATTCACCACAGAGACTGTTTCCACTGATGAATTTAGTGATATACCAGTTGCTTCTTCTTTTACTTGAGCATTAAAACTAATTGTTGGGTAATACCATTGAGTTAAACTTTTAACTAAAGAACGCATTGAAGTCTTGAATGTTGCACATCCATCAATCTAATAAACATAAATTATATTATAAATAGAAACAATATTTCAATGTTTATCTTAGTTAACTCTACATGGAGTATCATTCAGAGATTTCAAATATTGTTAAATACAGTTTTGTTTACTTAAGAATCTTTTATTAACCTTTTTTACAACTTGTAAGCAATAGTCTTGTTTATTAAAGTAATCTTTATTTTGACAAACTTGAGCAGTCATCACACCTACTACAGATTTTCCATAAGAGTATCTAAATATATATTATAAATTATATAAAAATCTAAATATATATAATACATTATATAAATATCTAAGTATATAATATATATTATATAAACATTTAAACTAAATTCAAAATAGTTTTATTTCTCCTTATGGTACATATACCTCCTCATGCTACATTATTCTCCTTAAGCTCCTTGGTGCATTATTCTCTTTATGATACATATACTCTTATTCTCTATTTCAGTTTCGGAACCCCAGGCAAACCCCAGACAAGAGTATGATATTACTATTGTTTATATTACTGTTTCTATACATCAAATATTACTTTATCAATATAAATTTATCAGACCTAATTGCTCTTTGTCAGACTAATTTTAATTTTAATTTTAATTTTAAATTTAATTTGGCTGTTTCACCTTTGGATCTCAGTATTGATAAAAATCTCTTTTGTTCCAAAACTTCACTCTTTTCAATAACAATTCTGATCAAATTGAAAAAACTCTCTCTTTTTATTCAGCTGGTAATGTTGTTTTTAGCAACTGTTTATCATACTAAATGGCTTGGCTCTAGTACCACTAATCTTACTGGCAGTAAAAATCATAACTTTTGTCTTTTTGACTTGTCCAGACAACTCAAATCAGTTGTCCAGACAACTGTGAAATCAGTTTCTTGATTTGTGTTATTATCTTGGCTTATGCTTTCTACTTTAAATGGATCAGACCTATAATTCATTAAACTACAACAAATTCATTATTTTTTCAATTACTATAAGGCTGACTGAATTCCTTTCATGATTTCCTTTGTGATGTTTAAAGGTCTAAAAGTCTAAAGCTAAGGTCTTATAATGCAAACTTTTAAATAATCTTTAGTAGTGCCATTAATTAATGACAAATTCTTCTCTCGTCGATCTGATCTTATTACCTCTCTGAAGAAAAAGGTAGAACTATTTTCAAAGAGTTTTTTCTTTAACTTATCTCATGAATCTAATGATCACACTCATCCTAACATTCCAAAAAAAATCTTAATCTATTTCTGAACTAATTTACAGCTTGTGGTCAGCAAAAGTGTTCTACAGAAAAGTGTTCTACAGAAAAGTGTTCTACAGAAAAAAGAGCTACACAGAAAAAAAGAACTTCTACAAAACTCTCTTCAACATTCTCTATACTATTTAACAAGTGCTTAACTTGTTAAATAGTAGAGAGAGACTAAAACTTTTTTTTTGAAGGAAAATATGTGTTATGAGTTAAAGAAAACTAAAGTAAGCGTCATGAAAATTTATGAAAATAAGTGCTTTAATGCTTGATGGAATGTGAATAATTGAATGCTTTGATTATAATACAAGCTCATACTATGGAGTTATTATCTTACCTCAACATTATAACCTTGCTAAACATGCTAAACATAAACCAGTTTTTATACTTGGAACAATATCTAGAAGATGGAAACAAACTGTAGCATATTTTTATACTGAAAACTCTGCTAATGTTATGATGTTAACATCCTAACTATTATTTATTATACTGAAGATAAACAGAACTAAAAATTAATTACGTGTTAATTCTGTTATGAGCACCATCAACCAGGCAACATAAAGATTTTTTAATATTAACTGCACTAAAAATTGCAGAATTTCCAGTTCAACTCAACACCTATGCAACCCAACTTGTAATATTGATTTTTTATTAGATGTTTTTCATAATTACAACTAAGATTCAAGAAAAATATAAGCTTTTATCACTAGACTTTCAAGAAGGTATGGATTTGAAGCATATAAACTTACATCATTTTGATGTACGTTTAAACCAAAAATGTAAGTTATGAATTAAAATTTTGCTAATAAAAACAACATTTGCATTCTTTTTATAAATGGAATAAATATTTAGATCATTTGAGCCATACTATTTTTTTCAAAAGGAATTATAATGATAAAGATTTTAGATAAAATCACTTTTAATGATTAAACTAAAAGTTTATTTTTTGTGAATTGTCATCAAATTAAATCAAAGCATGAAAATAACATTCAGGCTTAAAATAGACTAAAAATATTCAACCATAAGAAAAAGCGTTCATTGAAAAAAACAAAAGAAATTCTTGTGACTTGGCAGCAAGAGTATGATAATGCATTGGCATTGGATGTTTAGGTTCAATTAAGGAACTAATTTTTAAAAAGTTAAAAAAAAGTAAAACTTTTGTCAAGTATATTTTTAGATAAGTTACTTATAAATTACAAGGTGTTTTTTTTAAAGCATTTATTAATTTGCCACATAAATTTATGTAAATAAATTATTTTTTAAACTAATAATTTTGCAAAAAAAACATAATAAGTTTTCGTGTTTTTCAAAACAAATATTTTTTAACATAAATGAGAAAAAACAAATAGGTTTTTACTCATTTATGCACTGCGTGGCATAAAATATGGCTGCCATGTTCCATATGTTTGCCCTCCGAGTATATAGGTTCCATAAAAAAAACCTTATTAAAATTACAACATCCATTACCAATTAAAATAGGATTTACAAAAGCCCTGTAGGTAGTCACAGTAATCAAGAGTTAATGTTGTTATAGCACTTGGAACTTTCACTGTGTTATGATTCTAGAGCAACTTTTTTAATTCAAACTCATTTAAAAATAGAAGTTAAAATGTCTAAAATATTTAACTTTGGTTAAACATAAATAATAAAATACATACTTGGCACACACTTCAGTGCTAATTTCATCCATATCTTTTGAAATAAAACCAGGTGGTTTTACAGTAACTTGAAATTGTGGAAGCACATACTCTTTCACTTCAACTTCAAGTGTTGCTGAGTAACCATCTATTTCAGCTCTTATTTTCCATATACCCATAACAGGCTTTTCTGATGTAGGCAGTTCAAATGATGCAAAACCTATATATAAATGTGTGTATATATATATAAAACAATTGAGAAAAAAGACAAATTTTTTTCCACTTATTAAAAACCATATTTTTAACAAATAAAACATGTTTTGACTATTTTATATTCATCTTCAGTTGGGTTTAAAAAACCCATATTTTTTCATTTAATCTTATATACAAATATTCTACAGTACTAAAACATAAATGACTATTTTTATTAATTACGACAAAATAGGCAATAGCAAAAATTACAATAAAAAGGATATTAAATTATTTAAGAAAAGGTTAACAACTTATAAAATGGTAACTGTTATTTGAAAAGAGATATCTTACTGTGGTTTAACTGTTTGTTCATATCTGGATTTTTCCATTCAATGAAAAACTTTCCTAATCTTTAAGGTCGAATTTAAGGCAGAATCCAATATCAAAAAAAGTTATCATTATAACTATCAAAACAATTATTGTTAGCATGGAGATGTTTGTATATGTGTGAGATTTTGTCTCTCCTGTAGTGTTCAATCAATTGTAATAAATAACAAATTATTTGAACTTTACAGGTAGAGGATCCATTGGTAAAAACATATTAGAAATTTTAAGAGGTAAAAATTAAATTAAAGTTTATAGGTTTAAAATTTTTTTTAATAATAGAGACCTCTTTTTGGTTTGATCAGATATATTACCAACATAAGGAAGTTTAAAGTAGTTTTTCATGACTTCTTCTACTTCAAAAATATTTTAAATACTTGCTTAAATACTGTTTGTCACAGTAGCACCTAAGTTTATTTTTTTAAGTTACTCGGTGTTTATAATTTGGATTTCCATTTTATACATAAATCACTTGAGGTAATTAACTGGTTTCTTCAGAGTAAGTTGAAAAAAGAAGATTTGGATAAACTCAAAACTAAACTTTCTTACTTGGACACTTGTTATTGGTCATCATCCATCAAAAGAAAAATTAAAAAAGGAATATTAAAAAAGTTACAAAATAACTCAGACATTATCATATTAAAACCAGATAAAAGAAATGGTATTGTCATTCTAGACAGAAAAACATATGATGAAGGAATATACAAAATAGTAAATGATCAAACTAAGTTTAAATTACTCAATAAAGATGTTTCTTTTAGTAAAGAAACAGCTTCAGAACTTTTTAAAAAAATTTAAAAATATATATTTTTTTGATGATGTAATATATAACAAACATTATACTTGTGGTTCACAACCTGCTTGTATTTACTGTCTCCTGAAAAAGCATAGATTATGTCCTGAAAATCCAAATATAAGTTTCAGACCTATCATTTCATCAATTGGCACCTATAACTATCAATCAGCTAAATTTTTAAGAGATTTACAGTCACCTATAATACCTTCAGAATTTTGTACATAAAATTCATTAAGTTTTAAAAAAGGTGTGAATCAAGCTAATGTTCATGGAAAATACTTAGTATTGCAAGCCTATACACTAATGTACCTCATATATACACAATATCACAAGCCTATACACTAATGTACCTCGAGAAACCATTGATATTGTTGTTAATTCAATTTTAGGCATTGATGATAATGTTAAAATTAACAAAACCAATTCAAAGAAATCTTTGCAACATCGCAATCACATTTTAAATATAAAAAAAAAGACTTTATTTTTCAACCAAATAGATGGTATTGCTATAAACTCCCCACTAGCTCCTGTTCTTGCTAATTTATGAGTCATTTTGAAGAAAAATGGCTAAAATCAAACAGTGGACAGTAGTGTACACTGGATTTTTAGATGTTTGAGTTTTGACACATACAGGCATTGAGCAAACTCCAAACTTTTGTATGTTCATGCTTATGTCAAATGAGAATGTTTTGCAAAGAGTTGCGGTGATTGGAGCTTGGGGACAAAAAAAACCCAATTTTTGGGCCCACCAAGCCCTTAATGTGGGAGCAACAAGTTTATAAAATAATTTCTTTAGTATTTTTATCTAAGTTTATATTCATCTACAAATTTCAAATTTCATGCAATAACCTCTTATTTTTTGAAAATTATGACCATATAAAACCCAGTGTACACCACTGTTGGAATCAAGTTAGTATATTACAAACGCTATTTTGATGATATTTCTGCCGCATATCCATCAGAAAATGATGCATGCCATTTTCTTGATTATATCAACAAAAGACATAATTCAATATCTTTTATCATGGAAAATAAAAAGGAATCGAATACCTCTTTCTTAGACAATAATATAAACAAAGTAAATAGTTCCTTATTTACTTCCATTTTTCATAAGGAAACATATTCAGGCCTTCATACCTCCTTTGTAATTTCATCTCTTTTTCACACAAGGTAAATTTAACTAAATGCTTAACTGATAAAACCTTTTATACTGCTGATTTAGGAGAGCATTTTGACATCATACTAAAATAGTCTACTGCCAGGGGCTTCAGTACATACATCAACTGACAAATAGCCTTACTCGCAGTAGAGTGCTGCTACATCGACTGAGGGTTTGGGGCAGCAATCTTTTCATTCATTATTCTATGTTTTTTTCTTCTTTTTCTAAAAAAGTTGTATGGATTAAAATAAACAAAAAAATTTATATATATATATATATATATATATATATATATATATATATATATATATATATATATATATATATATATATATATATATATATGTATATATATATATATAGAGAGAGAGAGAGAGAGACAGAGAGACAGAGAGAGAGAGAGATGTATATAGAGAGAGATAGATAGTTCAATACATACATAGTTAAATACATTCATCCCTCTAAAAGCAGAGGTCCGCCATTAGAGGTATTTATTTTACTGTTATTAATTTTACACTGTAAATGTTATTAAAGATAAATTACGGTTCAATTAGCATTGAAATATAAACAATTTAAAATTTATTATATAATTAGTAATGACAACAGTAAAAATATATACCATCATTAAGTTCCACATCATTCCACTGTTGCATACGAGTTCCAGATGGATTTTCTATAACAACCTTTAGCTTACCTTTATGAGGTTTCAACTCAGCATTGACCACTACAACACGACACTTAACTAAATATTAACACAAATAATAATAATAACAATAATAATAATAATACGTTAAACAAAAACTACATATTAAATATATATCTTGAAAAAAAAGTCATATATTGTCATATAGCCTATAAATAATATTATATATAAATATATATATATATATATATATATATATATATATTATATATATATATATATATATATATATATATATATATATATATATATATATATATATATATATATATATATATATATATATATATATATATATATATATATATATATATATATATATATATATATATATATATATATAAATCTTTTTAAAGCCAATACACAAATTTTGAACTTTTAATTTGTTTGAAATCAATCAAAATCTTCTAATTTAAATGATAAATAATAATCAAAAAAATACTTGTTTGACCAGGCTTGTACACTGGTTTATCTGTTTGAATTAATACATTTAATCCAAGCTTTGATACACTTATATAGTTAGTTTCATTCTTAAACACCCAAACTCGATTTCTAATCACACCACGACCCTCTAAGGTAAGTTTTAAACTCGAGGGTGCATCATGATCAATATACAATGGAAGAGTGTTCAAGATTTCTAAAGCAATAACAAATAAATTATTAAAAATACATATCAAAAATAGACTTATTGTAACAAATATAACTAAAATAAAAAGAAGAATAAAAACTAACATAACAAGCACAAAAATACGAAACCCAAACACATAAAGTGTGAAGCTGTGAATTCTGTGGTAAAAAAGTTTTAGTTTTACAAGTAAAATGTAAACATATTTTGAAAAACCTGGTTTTACATCAAATATCTTTGATAAATATATTTTTTCGTTACTGCTATCTTTTAAGGTTATATTTACAGCAACCGAATATGAGAAACCAAAAACTGAAACAACAACATTTTCAAATGATCCAGTTCGAAATTGATTTGGGAAATATGTCAAGTACCTCCTAAAAAATAAACCTGTTGTTTAGAAAAACTAGCCTAAAATATATATATTTTTAAAACTTGAGTTGTGTTTAGAAAAATTAAGACACATATAAACTATTAACTTACCAGTTACATGGCTGAGGAACAATTCTTTCACTACAATTAAAATCTTCTGTTTTTACCTCTAATCTAAAATTAAAAAAATATTTTATGCAATACTGTTATATATGTTCATGCAATGTTTTTTTCTGTGCATCATTGCTTTAAAGACAACCAATAAAAAAAAATATTTCGGAAACACAAAAATAATATTGTTATCATAATTTGTAAAAATAAGGATTCAGAATAATAATTTTAAAAAACATTTATATTTAAAAAATAATTTGAGTATTTAGAGATACAAAGCATGCCAATTTTAGGAAACTTTCTGTACTTTTTTTAAAATATTTTATAAAAAAAGTTTTTAAATCTATTTGGCAATTTTATAGGAAGTTGTCAATTATCTTTAAGCTGTTGTCATGTCCAAATTTTAAATACACAAAATAAACTTTTAGATAAGTAATAATAATATGATGTAATAATAAATATCTTAAAAACTTTAAGAATTACTTAAACACAGTGGGGTATTAACTTAAATTTAGTACAAATGACTTACTAATGGAAGGATCATTTGCAAAGGCTCTACTAATTACTTAAGCATTCTGAAAATCAAAAAAACAACTTTTTTCTTAAAAAACATTTTTCATATTTTTTTTTATATGTTTACTTTTCAAAAATGGATAGAGATCAACCTTTTAGCACACATAAAATCTTTGTAATAATACACTTTCGATTAAAATTACATCTGTTGTTCATAGTAAAACACATTTTAGTAATGCTGCGAAATAATGTAGTTGTGCCAATTATTATTTTTTGTTCTTATAGCTCATTGAATCAAAACATAATTTTGACTATAACAACCTTTAAAAATAAAATTTAAAAAAATTGTTATTATTGTTTTTGTTATTATTAATAAATGTACTAATAATAGTTTGAAATTTTGCGCCTTCTGTGAAAAATTGTGACATTGAGATTCTACAAAAAATTATCTCTAGATAATTTTTTGAAGGATCTCAATAGCTCTTCAAATTTTATATAATTTTAATTTTATATATTAAATATTTCTATTAACCTTCTCTTTACATTTGATAAACCTAATATTTTTGTTTGATAAACCTAATATTTTTGTTTGATAAACCTAATACTTTTGTTTTGCATGTTCTATAAAACCTACATTTGAATATCTTTATTTTCAACAATGACAACATGATCCCACACTAAGACATAATATTACAACACCAAAATCCTTTTTGATTTCTGTCTTTTATAAAATATGATTGATTATTATATAGTTGAATTGGTGATCTGATTTATATTTGATGCATTACTTTATACAGCAATCCCCATGAAATATTTTTGACTACTTATTTAACAACTCAATTTTATAACTAACACTTATTTAACAACTAACAATTTTGTTCTCAAGCATTGAAGATCATGGTTGCTGCTTTATTAAAAATTATGTACATCAATTTTGTATCATATGTTATCATGTATCATTATTTCAACTAATCAAATATATTTACATTTACAGAATCACAAAATGAAGTGAATCAGGAAGTGAAAATTAAGGCACTCCACTTGTGAAATTCTTCCAGTCTAAAACAAACTTAATGCAAATCTTCACTTTCTATGACTAAGTAATGTTTTACACTTGTATATTGTTGAATTTACAAGTGAAAACCGAAACCAGCTGGTAAAAATTTTAATGAAACCAAATCAAACAACAGCTAATAATTTATTCACTTTATAATATATATTATATACATATAAAAAACTAGAATCAGTAACAAACAGTTAATATATAAGTCTGTATTAACATATGCAAAGGTAGATTCAGTAACTCACAGCAGTTAATATGTTAAATAAATATACTAACAAGAGACTAAATGATATTTATACAAATATAATAAAAACTGTATGTGTAGTAGTAATAATAATAATAATAATAATAATAATAATAATAATAATAATAATAATAATAATAATAATAATAATAGCAATAATAATAATAATAATAACAATAATAATAATAATAGTAATAATAACAATGGTAATAATAGTAATAGTAACAATAATAAAAATAAATAAAAAATTCTAACATAATAATAATACCAATAGTAACAAACAAACATCATACAGAAGATAAAGAGATTAATAATAATACAATAATACAACATAACAGAAACTTTCTTTATTGTTTTTGTCTCAGATAAATTCTTTAATCTTGTTGATAAAAAGAGTATTATTTCCTGTTTTCAAATATAAATTCTTGAATTTAAATGAAAGAAATTCTGTGATTTAGTTGATTGATATTTAATAGAACAAATCCCATACTTAAATGATCGCTTGAAAGATATCAAAAGGTTGCTGTGTGATACAATTTTAGGTTTTAACGATGAGTTGTATTAATTAATTTTAATAACTATTTAAGCTTATTGGTAGGTTTTTGCTTTTGCAGAAGAGCTTTTGCTAAATTTTAAAATTTATATTAATGCCATTACCAGCTTTAGTTGCTTTTGGTTATAAAATCTAAAGCCTCTGATAAATATGAATAATTTTTACTAAAAACAAACTCATGCATTTCAAAAAAAATAATCATTACTATTAATTTATTTGAAGTCAAATGGTTCATCGTAACATCTCGAATAATTTTCTACACGATTTCGAATCATTTTTGTACACGATTATTGACGTTAAGGAAACTGATCGATGGTTTACAGAATGTAGCTTATTTTCTGTCGGGTGTCTTCAACAATAGTTATGCTCGCAATCAATTTATTCATTTAGTATTAGGCGAGGACTTTTTGAAGTTTCTGTTTTAAGCAGCAAAAAAACGAAATTATTAAAGGTCGTTTAACTGCAGGATTATTGCTTTACAAAAACATATTGCTAATATCATTAGCAGTAGTAAAACAATCAGTACTGTTCAGATTATGAAACTTATATGATGCAATAATAATTTGAATATATCGTACCTTTGCGTATAAATATAATAGATTAACTGAGTTTCACATTTTATGATTGATTTATTAAAAGTAACTATAATTAGGCACATAAGTAGTTTAAACGTTTTCTTAGATTGTATGTTTACAGTTTTAGAGGTCATGTCACAACGTACTGATTTTGATTTTGAACAAGAAAGCTGATAGAATCAAAGACCTATTCCGCCGTTTGTAATTTTGTGTAAATTGACGTTTATGAGGTAATTAAAATTTGTGTAAATTGACCCGATAATAACTAATAATTGTGTAAGGTAAAAAACAAATATATATTATTATATATTTATATAAACTTAATATTACATATATAAAAATAAATTATTTACCATTAATTGTTAACGATTGTGCGTGTCCAACGCTTAAATAAATTCAAATGCCCGGTGACGCGGGTGCGATTACCGGGTAGGTACAATCGCAGATTGGCAGAGCAGATCATTGTAATGTTGATAGCGGCAGAGCAGATTATCCAATCAGCCATTTTCTAATGTGTGATCTGCCAAATATTATTTAGCAAATCACACATTATTCAAATATTATTTGGCAGATCACGCATTATTAAAATATAATTTTGCAGATCACAAAATAGAAAACGGCTGATTGTCTGTCTGTGATAATCTGCTCTGTCGTTATAATTATTACAATGATCTGCTCTGCCAATCTGCTCTGCCGGTTGCATTATCAGATCACTTTTTTTTTAGGAAAAGTATTGCGACAATAAAAAACGTTTATGTTTAAAAAGTCAACTCATAATTCATTCTATTCGAAGTGCATCGTTTTTCATAAAAATATTTGCCAATCAAATAATAAAAATTCTATTATATGATCTGCCGAATTATTTGGCAGATCACACATTAGGAAACAGCTAATTGAATAATCTGCTCTGCCGTTATTAATATTTCAATGATCTGCTCTGCCAATCTGCTCTGCTCTGCCGATTGTACCTACCCGCGATTACCTTTAGATGGCTTATGGTTTTGCGTGTTTACGTTGTATTTTAAAGTGAAGAATTTCTAGATTATTTTGCCGGGTTTTGCATCCATTTAAAATAAACATGATATCCATTTAAAACAACCATGTAATTCATTTAAAACATTGTGACAATCAATTAAAACAATCGTGATTTTCTATTAAAACAGTTAACGCGTGGACAACAGTGCCGGATCGAGAGGGGGCTAGGGGGACTTTAGTCACGGGCCCCGCAAATTTAGGGGCCCCCAAAAATTTTAGAAGACCTTTTTTTTTTTTAAGTCATTTTCAGACTCTGGCCCATAAAAAGGCCTCCAAAAACTAAAATAGCCCCGGGCCCTAACAAGTCTTAATCCGCCACTGATGTACAATTTCAACATTCTATATTATTCGAAAATAAAAGTTATATATATATATATATATATATATATATATATATATATATATATATATATATATATATATATATATATATATATATATATATATATATATATATATATATATATATATATATATATGTTGAAATTGCGCATGCGTTAAATGTTTTAATAGAAAATCAAGATTGTTTTAATTGATTGTCACGATGTTTTAAATGAATGATTGTTTTAAATAAATGTCATGGTTATTTTAAATGGATGTCATGTTTATTTTAAATGGATGCAAAACCCGGTATGTTTTAAAGTGTTTTAATTCTAGTTTTATGTGTATTGCCTGTGGTTATTGTTAATAAAAAGTTATACTGTTTATAAATTACTGTTTATAAAGTGTGCGCACACGGACTGAATTAAACAGGTAGAACATACAGGAAATGTACATACATCGACTGACTTAAATAGTTAGAGCATGCAGGTAGTGGAAATACATCGACTGATTAAATAGGAAGAACATGCAGGGATTGTACATACATCGACTGACTAAATAAGGGGGGCAGAGAGCCCTCACTTTTTTACTTAAAGACCTTCTTTTTTGTTGTAGAATTTTTTAGATATTGAGGACTTCTTTTAGAAATTGACAATTGTGCCCCACCCCTTCGAAACCCGTGTAGTTGGCCCTGAGTTTTCAATGATTGTTTTTATTAGGTCATGTAACCTGGGCTAACTTACATAGGTATAAGATGGT